AATACGAACCTAGAACGTTCTGGCAAAGAGCCAAAGCTCTATCAATTGTATCGAAATTCTAAAAATGTGTGTGCCAACTTCGCACAGGTGACTACATCATTGAATAAAAATTTCGGATCGTCAGCTTTCTCCGTGCTATCCTTTTCGCAATCATTTTACTTAATCGTGACGAAGTGCTGCGGTAGGTAGGTGTGTTGCTCGTTAATCAGAAGGCGAGTACAAAGCAAATTCCTAAACGGTGCGCTTGGCATGCATTAATCATAATGCAGTAAATGCGAGTGCAAGGGTCGTTATACGACGTGAGCTTGAAACGTAATATTTTCTTTAAGAGCGGTAAACAAAACTCCGTGTTCATTGTTGAATGTGCAACGACGTCGCGTGTTGAAAATGGAGTTTCCATGACTCAACGATATCAGATAGTGTGAAGAGACGCGAAGTGAGACGATGTCACATGCTATGCGAGGGTGTTACACTGTTGTTTCACAGACGCAATGGAAACGCTTTACGAAATGGAACTACGTTCTCATCCCGAGAAAAGCGGCAGATAGTTTGTTTGCCTTTACATGGAATTTCTCGATTATCGCGATTACAAAGTTAGATCGATAAAAGCGAAGGATGATAGGTCCACGCGGACGTGGGTATTACCCAGTTATGTATTGTCCCTTCCATAGCAAAAAAATCTACTCGCAGCTTTTGCCATTCCATCCTTTCCTTACTTTAAAGAAACAACGATTCGAGAAGATAAATGCGCTCGTTTTCTGTAGCTCGACTTCGAGGAAGTCTTAATGCGAAGAACCGCCATTTCTTTAGAGTTTTTGCACCGATTTCTGGTTCCTCTGGTTGGTTACTCGGGAACCACCTTATCTTCAGTTCGCCCGTATTTTATGAAATCCTAAAGCATGATATAATATCTTTGCTTCTAAACGGGAACTGATAGATACCGAGTCGAGCGAGCTTTAGATATCGCTTTGGGACCATATTTAAGCTATTATCTTTTTTTATTGCAGTATAAAATTTTTAAATCATTCATAATCGCAATTTTAATTTAAAATTAAATATGGGATAGGAAATCGTTTTGTTTCATTACACGATAATTAAATTATGAACATTGTTACGCCTGCAGTAATTAATAGCCGAAAAACATTAATCCAATAATTATATTAAATAATATGCAATGAAATAATTGCAAATGTTTTCCGATAACGTGTATCATTATTATTCTGCAAAATTATAAAATACACAAAATTTATGTGTGCTTGCGCGCGCGTTATCCACATTGAAATGTCAATATTGGCTGACAGAATTGCGAGGTATGGACCTCGTGAAATCGCCAGTACCGCGCAGAAAATTTATCGAATTACATTCTATACTTTCGGAACTCGAATACCTTGTATTTCTTGTTCGACCGAAAGGGGACACAGCGTCTTGCTACGATAAATGCTCTCGTTTACCAAAGCTTTAACGTCAGGTCAAAGGTCTGCTTCCCGTCTGTGCAAAACTTTTCACCCTCCTTTATTCTCTTTATTTTTTTGTTGGAAACCACTGTCAAACACAAAGTTCCTCGATACGGTAACTCAGGCAGTCCGTCGCGATACAGCTACCGGTATTCTTGGCGAAAAATATGACAGGTTGGATATTTACGAACGTCTGTGGCGTCGACAAGAAGACTTCGAAATAATCTTGTCTATTGGATTAAAGCGAATATCTACATTGTACAATACAGTGTATGATTGGTTATATTCCAATTTGAAATAAAATAACTTATCATATGAAACTTTTGATTATTATACAATATATATTGTTCCCTTAAAAAAAATATCACAACTCAATAAACATTTTCGAATTATTACCAAGAATGAGTTAAATGAATTTATACTTTATCAATCATAAAAAATTAATTAATTCAACTTTATAACTTCATAGATCATTGAAATCATCATAACAAAAAGAATAGTTTAAAAACAGTCATCACAATTAAAAAAAGATAGTAAAACAAAAATAACGATATATATTTAATTAATAGATTAAGAATATATTTTTTTGGTGCGATATTACGTGATACAGTTAATAAATTTTTATCAAATTGAACAATCGTTTTTTTTTCTTTTCTTTAATTAAGAAAACTTAATTCTTTTTGTGTCATTTTTAAAAATAAAGGAGAGAACAATATGTTATTGTTTATTATATTATATTTAATTATGCTTATTTGATTTTTTTATTTTACATACTATATTTTAAATAATAAAAATAAAATTAAAATGAAATTTCTTTAATTTTGTAATACGTATGTATATTAGATGTATTTTCGATAAAGAAATGCTTTTGCGCGTTTACTAAAAACTTAATTTAATTTTAATAGATCTGTTTTGTCGTATATCTCCGGATACAAAACGTGTCATCTTAAGAAAGAAAATTCACACTATTAATGGTCGAGTCGCTTCCAGCTTTTCCTCCACTATACTCTCTCTGACACTCGCGACAGTACATCTGATTCGAATATATATCCTTGCTTCGTTCTTGCCAGTTCCGATGCAAAGACCTCGAGTCTTTGACGGTTGCGACGAGCAAATATGTGATGGAACGCGAACACGCTTGTAAAGGAGACCGATTTAAATTCCACGAGTGCAACATTTAACACGTTCCCATTCTCACTTATCTCGCGAGCAGACTCTCTTCACTGCAACACGATGATGTATATTTATGCATAGGATCGCGATCATGTGCATAAATATACAATACTTTCAGTAATATTACTGTTTTTGACCGATATTTATAATCAGTGCTTATATTTAACCGCTAAAGTGTAATCTCTTAAAATGTCATATAGGTCAATCATAGAATCGTATTAACATTTTAAGATATTACTTAAGACAAGTATAACATAAAAACTGGCTAAGAATACCGGCCTTCCTTTTAGAATACATATGATAGATAAAATGTCGGCGGACTTTTGTATCGTTTATCAAAAATCCTTGGCAATATTTATAATCGCACATGGGTATGACACATTTTTAATTGTTTTCTATAAACGACACAACAATCGATCGATACTTTAGTCTACAGTGTGCTCTTGCCCAAATTAAAAACTCGCGATGAAGTTGCATTTTTCAATTAATTTTAAATGGGATCTGAATGGATGAAATGGGTTTGAATTTCAATAGACTGGCTCTATATTTCTCATCAGACGCGAAAGAAGAATATATTTGACCAATTGTTTTGCAACATCTTTTGTGAAGGAAAAAAGGAAACCGACGAGAGAATGATGTGCAATTTTACTGGTGAAAACGCGATGAGAGTAAAGGCACGTTAATTGGCGTTCATCTGGAAAAGGTTTACCAACGGTTGGAGTGTCTGCAAGCTCGTAGCTAGGACGTGTGAAATGTCGGCGAGTCAGAAGGGCTAGAGGAGCTAATTACCCCGCAGGAAAAATTCCTTGGCACATGCCGGCCAACGGCGAATCCCGAGGTGACGCGTACTCTCCCGTTGGCGTTTTCATAACTTTTCAACAGGATGTTAATTGGATTCCTTTTTCTCTTCTTAACCTCTATCTCCTATCTCTTTCTCTTTCTCTCTTCTCTCCTCTACTCCCGTTGTCGTATATGCTTGCTCGATGGTGACTTACTTTATTTCAAATTTATTACGTTGCTTAATTGCTGTTTTACGATTCTTTTATTGTCGCGCTGGAAATGCCCGTCACGTCGAACGACAACGAGAAACATGGTTCAGAAGTAAGATTAAAACATAATTTGAAAAAAAAATAAGTTTTAAAAATCGCTCTAATTAAAATTTTTGCCGGAGCTTATGATAACTTGAGGTAGACAAGATGACATTTTAAATCCATGCATTTTAATTAAACCTTTTTATATGAAATGGTATATGAGATTTTATATAAAATTGGTTATATGAGATGGTAATAGAAATTTTGTTAAAATGTTCAAGAAGTAAAATTTTACAAAAATAAAAGTAACAGTAACATTCAAAAACAATTTTAAATTATGTATTATGTAAGTACCTCCTTGACCAATATGTATATTCGGTAATCGGATTTATCGGATTTTATCAAATCACGTTATAAAAGCGACAAATATGTAATTATCGTCGGTGCACTGGATTGCAACCTGTTGGTCACTTGCCATATTTTCTCAAACATCAAATGGCTTTAATATCAGTAAAGGTTCCTTTCGGCAACCTCGGGCAATGAGTCTCAAGTTGATCCTTATAACTCCCGCCTTAAGCACTCGCAATATCTTACGATGGTTTTATAAGAGTGAAGTTGCGAAAGTACGGCGACACGTAACTTTAAAGCGGTACTTATACGAAGCTCGTAAAACTTTCGTGTCATTTTTAGCATAATCGCAATACGTCGAGTAGTTCGTGTTCGAGCGGCTAATTGGGTATTAATGAAAAAGGTAATTATGTGCAGGAAGAAGCTCTGGCAAAGTTACAATTGGCTCCGGCTACTTGGAACAATCTTTGTGAACATTTTCTCATTACTACGTGTAAGAATAACTGAGCAGGAAGTTTCTGCGACATTGTATTTCGAATAATAACGCAAATGGTAATTGCCAAATTCACGTCTGGCTCATTCCAACCGCAATACACTAATATTTATTGTACATGCAGTTGCAAAACCCTCCCAATTTCCATCTTGGATTTACATTACGATCCACTAAAACGTGATTGTATGTAAACTTCTTCATATCTAAAAGAGCGTGTAATTTAAACGAAGCTATTCTGCCTAATTTATTAGTTAAACTTAATTGAATAACAAGAGGAATCGCATGTAAATAATGTTATTTTGATAATTATGTTAAATTGCTTAGGCTAACGTTATAATGTTACGTATTTGATAAATGGCTTTCAATAAAATTTTCTCTCTATTTCTCATATAACTATCCTATTTATATACATCTATCAATATACATATCTATATCTACACATCTAATAATATTACATATCTATCTTTTATCGAACAAATGAATAATTCAAATAAATCTTACCAATAACTGTTAAATTGACTTTGGAGTTTCTCGTCTGGCCAATTTGAAAATCGACACGACACCTGTAGATACCGGCGTCCTCTTCTCTCGTGTTCTCGACGCCTAGTTGCGCCGGTTGCTTGTCCAGCATGAAATAGGCGCGATTCGAGAATACGCTGTTGTCCGACCATCTTTCAGCGACCCCAAACTCCCGATTCCTAGCGTCGATGCTGTAACAAAAAAATCGTATTGATAATAAATGGACGAGCCAGGTATTGACGATGTGAGCTCTTTTGCATTAATCTTCTTTAAAAAATGCACAATCCGCCTCATGGACAATACAGAGGAATACTTGTAATGATGCGTGTTCGTTTCTCTTCTCTCGTTTTCAGGTAAAAGGGAGCTTATGATATTAAGCTGTATCAAAAGTATTTTAGCACAGAATTTGATCGTATTAATGTCGCTAAATTATAAATTCTCTCACCTTTTGATATTACATATTAAAATGTACGTGTAAATGAATTTAGTATGCAATAATGATGATGATAATGCGATAATTTCTGTTTCAGAGATGCGAATCGGAAGATTAAATTGTGTTAGAATTAAAAAGTGCGAATAAAATTCCATTCATCAAGATAAATGCTTTTGTAACGTCATTAAAAAAGTAGGTCGTGCAAAATGTTGTATTATTATGTACACAGAATTTTGCAAGAATATTTTATGACGCAGTCAGCCGTTTACAGTCATGTGAATAATCCGACAGACAGATTTTCGAAATGCTATATTATACTACAGTTTACGATATGTGTCATCTACAATAATAAGCACGAATGAAAATATCTGAAAAATGCGCTCGTTGAATTATAGTGAGAATAATTTCATGGTAGATAAAATACTCGTTACGGGAATTGTTGTAAATACAAAATGCGGCGAACGTTTGCACTGAGGAAACGGACTGCAAAACCGATTGTTTTACCATTCCCGTAAAACAGAGATTTTCCCGTCGCCGCAATGTCGCGTCGTCGGTTTTGCGCCGATCCGCTAACTTTTCTCTTTCTCCCGTCATACAACGAAGTTTTTGCGTTTTTGTCGCAAGATCTTATTTTTTTTTATCGGACGAGTTTCGCTCAAAGCCATTTGATTCGATACGAGGAGGATATTTAAAGCGGCGTAAAAAGTTCTGCAAAGACGCCAGGCGTCTGACGGAGGCGAGGCATTAAAGACGTTGAACAGAGTGTTCTATTTTTGTCTTCTATTTTTACTTTCTTAATGATAATTTTTTTGACACTGTCATCGTTAATCTTTCTTAAAAGATGACGCGACATTTATAGTTTCTAAATAGATATCAAAAAATAAAGAATTTCTGATAAATTAAACTCTAGTAAAGATGAGAGATAACAAAATCATTCTTCAATTAATTTCAAATGGCCCTTACTTCAAAATAGAGTTAAATTAAAATAAGCTATAAAGATAGATGTATTTAAGATATATAAATACGCAAAAATAAATGTATTTTTAGAGATGAGTGATGTATTTTTAACGAGAAAATGTATCGTACTATCAAACCGCTCTCATTCAATCCTGACGTTTTGAATATCGAAATTTTGGCATCGAAAGCATAAAAAAAAAATCGCAAAATGGATTTCGGCTGCCACAGACTTTAACGATTTTCCATCGGTTACGCGGACGGCCACATGTATTCGCATTGTATTTGTCAATTATCAATCGGAATCGATGCTTAATTTTAAAAGATACGTGCGGTTTGGATGGCGATTTTAACGGCAGGCGTCATTACCGCGGTAATTTCGATTAATGTTTATGAGCGTTGTCTCACCGCGACTGGCAGCCATGGACGAATTCATCAGTCCACACGAAGGAATAAATTAAAATCCACGAGGGATTTCCCACTGCATAGTTTAAATCGCGTTCTAACCCCGGCGCGTTATCGCGGCCGTTGTAATTGGCACATAATTAAAGTTCCTCGGCTGATCATTATATACGGGTAATCATTATTTCAAGCCGTGAACGCTATCAAATTGTAATAATTATCCTGCTATAATTGATTTCATTTCACGGCGATTGCGTTTCTCTTTCGCCGTTAATTACCGCCTAATGATTTACATGATGTGACACGGATTGCGATGCAGTTTTTAAATAAAATTTCTCAAATTCTGCTGATCTGCGCGATTAATGCGAATGATATTAACATTCCGGGTTGCAAATATCGGATCCGGCGTGTCGTTCGTATTCCCCATTCGCTCGATTGTTATTGTTTGGGAAAATGCAAGTAATTCACGACTTAACGTCGCGAATAAACGCGTATCCACGCGGAATTCGAACGAACGAATCCGCTTAAAACGCCGCGTTGCTATTTTTCCTGCTTTTTAAGATCCGTTACGCTACCACGTGACGAGTTTCTCAGTACGTGTATCGTAACGTTTGAAAAGGATTTTAAAATCGCGAGCTGAGGACACTCCAGCGTCAGCCGGCGTTTCTGCTTTTCTATGAAAGGAAGCGGATAATGGTGTAGGCGGGGGTGAGAGTTGCATGTTAAGCACACCGTTAAGTGCTTAACCATAATACAGCCACTGCTAATCTGCGTTGCAGATAGAGAGGCTTGTTTATGAAAAATGCAATACAACGTCGGCGTACAATAATTTTAATAAAAAGCGAGGATCTAAAATAGAGTTAGGATTTGCCGAAGGATTAAAGAGAGCTGCTACGGAATGAATTAGTTATTTGTACCTTCCGCTCGCTTTGCGATTCTCGTTCGTAAATTCTTTCTATATCTGATTACGATTCTTTCCCATTTTTAAAAAACTAAGCTACTTACCGCTCGCCATTTTCATTCTGCTCTCTGCATGTGCGATGACGAATTTTTCATATTAATGCATTTAATTGTAATAAATGTTCAATATCGGAGCTGAAACTAGAGTGTGGCTAACTTGCCGCATGTAAAAGATTTAAACCCCGCAAACCCAAAGTTACATGTAACGTACCTATTAGTTGTAATACCCTACTTAATAATATAACTATAATATAAACGTGTTACAGGTATTACAGTTATATTGTTGAGTGGAAAATTATAACTAACAGGTACATTACACGTAACTTGGTGTTTGCTGGAAAGGGACGCAAAAATGGCAATATAAATTCCTATATATTTTAATTCATTCGCTACTAATATTATTTCTTGTTATATTTTACGTGCCGTAAAAGAAATTTTTTTGTTACTAAGGAGCGTATTTTTTTCTTTTGCCTCGGACGCCGAGATGTCTATAGTCTTAGTTCTGTTGTAGATCTTCACATCAAATTATCAATACCGAAATCATCATGCTTCGATTATTTGCATTCCCTATGAAATCGATTCATGAAAGATCCATCGAGCACTTGATTGTACTATCGACGCGATCACAATTCGTACAGACGTATTTCGAAGAGGAACACAATGAAAAATACAACGATCGTTCTCTGTTCAATATTGTCAATGCCAACTCGCGAAGTGAGATTCGATCTCAACGGGAAATACACGTGCGAAACGCGAAACGATCCCAACTTCGAAACGTCCGGAGCGTGACAATGGTGCCATGAGACTTGTTCGAAACGACTAGGCGACTGTGCGAATCAAGGAGAGAAACAAGCGTTTGGTCGGGCGAAAGACGCAAGCGTCAAAACAAAGGCGATTGCTTCTGCCTTTGAACTTGTTATCGTCGTGGTGAAAACGACTGATTGATCTGTCACTTTAATGATATTATCAAAATTATTGACAACAGTTTACAATACTCAGTTTGTCTTCTATTACTTTTGGTTGCCGTGGTAATCATCTGCGATTCTTTAGTGGCGTCCTTGTGATTATTTATCGAAGTTATTTGAAATGCTTGTAAAAGATAATTATAAAATTTAATAGTAATATAAAATTTTGAATATTGAATAATTTTGACATCGAATAATTTATTCGCGAAATTCATTAGCACATTGTCTGCTTAATGAGTTTTGCGTGTCTTACTGTGTACGTCACAGTATAATATATTTATTATCAGAAACATATAACAATGAAATATCGTGTAATATAATATTGAACATGAATGTATATTCTTTTATGGCAAACGACATAAATAACTATTATATAATAATTATTATCTAGCTATTTGTGTTATTTGCTATTCAACATTCTCTATGATCTAATCAGCCTTATGTAATCAATACAATATATAATACAATATTTTATTTATTTGTGATAAACAAAATTATATTGTGGCGTGCAAATAGTGTATTGAAAGAAAAATTTTTAATATTTGTGACTATTATTACATGTTACTGTAATTATTATTACTGCTATAATATTAATAATTATAGTTATATCAACGAATCACATATACATACATTCTTTCATTTTTGGAACAATATTAAATATAGTTGGTCCAAAAAATGACTATGAATTATAGTTAAATTATTTATTAGTTAAGTAATTTAAGTCATTTTTATGATAATAATAACTATATTACAGTAATTATAGTTATTTTCAATTGTGAACTATATACATATGATATAGTTCTATATTAACAAATATATATAGTTATTCTTATAGTAATAATCATAACATTATACCAGTAATAATAATAATAATAATAATGATAACATGTAATTATAGTCACAAAAATAAAAAAATTTTTCTCTTAGGATAAAACTAATAAAACATGCAAAACTCATTAGATAGATAATATGTTAATAGACAGGGTAAAATTTTGAAAAAATCAATTTTTTAATTTTGTAATATTTTAAAAGATATACGTATCGAGAATACATATATGCCAAGTTTTAAACAGATGTTTGGAAAATTGACGGAGTACAGCAGTTTTCGTAGAGCAGTTTTTGTACGACGAAGCGCGGTGGAGCACGAGAGCGCAGGTATAAGCGGCGCGCCAATTCGATCTTCTCGAATTGCACGAGAGGCCATTTGTCAGAGTGTAGAGAGAGGAGGAAAAGTATATTCAGTTGTAATGAAAATAACAATGAAAGCTTTAATCAAGTTGTTTGGAAAATCACACCTAAATCATTATTCAGCGGTACTCCCCCCCATCGTCTAAAATGCCGCCAATGTCGCTACAATATTATTTAACAATGGTCATGTCGCACTTCTGGATGTATTGGAGCTTCCACACATTCAAACTGGCCAAGCAATGTATGATTATTGTCATTATATAGACGAAGAACGTGCATATTGTTGAGCGACAGGCCTATGCTAACACGCACGAAAGTCGCTTAAGCGCTAGAATTGCTTCTGGCATCGATGAAGAAGCGTTTTTAGATGCGGAAGAGCTATTATATAGTCCAGGGATTGCTGAATAACAGTAAGTAATTTAAATTTTTAATTTAATGTGCAGTTAACATATAGTAATCTGAAAGTAAAACTTCAAACGCGTTTTTTTCAAAATCATTTTTTTCAACCTGGTTGATAGTAAATAAAAAAATCAACTCGACCTATATTGACTTGATGTAAATTGAATTTTATTCAGGAAACTTATCTCTATCGCCGGACGTAGCCGTTTTTTAATTAATAAAAATTTCACAATTTTATTCAACTTTTTTGTAACAAAAAAATAGCTATATTCGTTTTTTACTATCATAATTTTTTATTTTTTTGTTTCAGACAGCGTATATAGTCAATTCATTGTCAACGAAGCAAAAGTAACTGTTCAAGATAACCCTTTGGACAGCAGCTTTAATTCTAGTAACCGAGACAAAAAAATTTTTTACGTATTTCAATACTGATAGAACAAACAGACACCATAAAACAAAATACCTGATTTTATTATATATTTAAAAAATTCCCAAAGAACCCCCAGCTTTTCAGGCCTTCACCCTGTCTATAGCTCTTAATGAATTTCGTAAATAAATCATTGGCGAATACATAATTTTCAATTTCATCGTTTGATACTGAATTAAGATACTTTCAACGCGACGGGAATAATTAACCCCAATGTCGCGTATGCAAATTAGCAAAAATCTCGAGATAAGGAGCAATCTGTTTGTTTTCCACATAGTTCACGTAGTTTATGGAGTACGTGAGGGAAAATTAAAATCGCACCGCGATAGGGAAATGCTGGGCGGACGCAATTTTATTGTTCACTGGGATTAACTCGGTTAAGATGCCGCGTCGGCGTTTACGCGTCGATGGAAACTGTCGCGAAATTTCGTTATCTACGAGCGCGTTCATCGCATTTCCCCCGACGAGCACGGAAAAACCGCGCAGCTCAGCCATATCGCCAGCAAACGATCTGACGGCCGGCATACGTGACGTGTAATTAAAATCTGATGCAAAATCATGGGAAACATTTAAATCTGTTTGCAATATCCCAAATAATGGCGCAGGCCACTCGCGACGTGCAAGCGCAAAATATTTGCGCTGCAATTTTTCTTTTCCCTCTTCCTCTCCCTTTCTCGTTTTCCTTTTTTTTTTTAACATTTTTCGTAGACATATATTTTCGATTACATCGCGATACTATCTGTCCTGTCGTTAGTATGTGCATCGCGATGTAACGGATTATATAACACAACCGCGAAATCCAATCCATATTATTTTGGACTGAATCCAAAACAGCGATTAAAAAAGCGTCATTCTGAACCTTCCCTGTCTCTACCAGAATGCAATTCGACACCGCATAATTGATCAAGGATATAAATATTAATACAACCGCGCGACTTTTCATGCAATACGATATTAATGCGATGACAACAGTGATAACAATGATAAATAGTATAACAATGGTAACACTAACATAATTTTTTATCACATTTTCAATATAATTAATTCGTCGCGCCCGTGAAAATGATGATCGCGCAGTTTCTCGACAATGTCCCGACGTTTCGTTCCCGACTTTTTTTTTAACAATCCCTACAAATCGATACTTATGCAATATTCAACGGTGACTCCTGATCGCAAACACGATATGCATTCTTTGAGCCGAGCGAGGAGGAAAATCGAGTTCGAAGACAATTTTCGGATAAAAGCGGACTACCAATCTCGCATTGTGCCGACGGGCTGTTTGCAATCCGTTCCTGTTACGACCAGTAGCAGTAGTTTGCAAATCGCTGTACATACGTGCGTGTCTATGTACGCCCGGACCCGGCATGTGCGCACGTTCGCCTGTGTACGGATTGATTGCACTTTACCTGTAAACTGATGTACCGAGATCCTCGCGATACCAGAGCACAAGATGCACGGAGTCCCCCTCGTGAGTGGTTGATATGTCGCAGGGAAGATAGGTGGAATCTCCGACCAGTGCCACGATGTGTGATATGGGTACTAAACACAGAAACGTGGAAATGGTTAAACGCAGTTAACAGCGAAAGGCATTTTCGGAAAATACGATTAGGAAGGATCTCTATTTTCACGGAGAGGACAGTTTGGTTGAAATATCTAAAAATTGAACTAAATATTGATTTGAAGATAATTCTGTTGGAATATTTATGTAGAACGCTTTTAAGCGTTAATGACAATGCTATAAAAAGTTTTAATATTCTAGCAATTAGTTTGAACATGAGTAGTTATTTTGATGGTACAAACAAAATTATTTTCAGATCAATATTTAGTTAAATAGATACTTCAACAGAACCGTGTTTTCCGTGTAATTTTGAATATTAAATCCTTTTGTAGCATTGCGATAATTGCTTTCATCAGTTGTCAACTTGTAACATTTAAAAATACCAACAACGTTAAACATTGTTTTTTATATGGAAAGGATAGCTTTGCTGAAGTATCTAAAAATTTAACTAGGTAGAGATCTGGAAATAATTTTGTTAAAATAATTATATAGAACGATTGTTGACAATGCTCCAAAAAGCTTTTAACATTCTAGAAATCAGTTTAAGCATTCTACATAATTATTATTTTTGTCCAAACAAAATTATTTTCAGATCTCAATTTAGCTAAATTTTTAGATATTTCAGTAAAATTGATCTTTCCATGTAATTTTGCGGCGAAAATTGTTTTCCTCAGTAACGCGTTAAAAGTACCAACAACAACAATTTAAATTGATTGAAATATTTAATTAAAACTTATGCAGTCAGATTTTTCCAAAAATTGCTTCTCGAAATTAATGCGATTTTTGTAGACGATCACGAGATCGTTATTTTATATCATATGCGATATAAAAAATGTTGCTCGTACGATCAAATGCGATATGTTCACATATTGATAAAAATACAATTTACTCGCACACGGCATATAAATGAATTCATTCTATCAGAATAATTTTTCACTTTGTATGCAATTACATATCGCATTTGTTTTGTTTCCAGGCGAGCTTCACCATGATTATATAATTCGGTGATTCGTGAATGCCCGCGTAATGCGATAAGTATCAGCCTATTATTATTACCCGTTCACGCCAATACATGTGCAACCGCGCTTGATATTAGGATAAACACCTTCATTAATTTGAATTAATTTATTCGCTGTTTGAACAATAACGTTACATTTAGAGAATAGGCGCATTGATACTGACGTTTATATGAAGAACAAAATGAAACCAACGATATTTAATTTTTTCGTATATTATGCAGTTACGCGGCTTTTATTCCCTCTCATTAAATGGTTTTACAGCGGCATATGTAATAACAGCTGTTATTGCACGCATTACGAGCCAGACATTTTACATCCGTTTCGTGAAATAAAGGCTGAGAGGCGCTTTTAGTTATACTTTCGATAAAATATTCCCGGGTGTATATTGTACGAAGCCATACGAAAACTTCGATGCATTCGCGCATATCGTGCTACAATAAGGCCGTAAAAATTCAGCGTGCTACACCGAAGATAAAATTCGGAACGTTGAAGGAACATCACGCGTGAGTTGTTTGCATTACAAAGCGCGGCAATTCTTTTATATGAAATTAACTAATCGCCATTTATTTAACGAATTTTCTCTTTGCGCTTCTCTTGTTCTCTCTCTCTCTCTCTCTCAATGTTTGCGAACGCAGCGGTGACGGTAGAAAATCTCGGGCTATTCATGGAGCTATTTCAGGGAACGTCATCGCTGGAGTTCGTGCTCGCCTCGACATTTCACTGTGTCGCCAATGGACCTTTCCTCTTTTCCTAGCTGCGATCGACAAGATATCCGGCGTTGAAAATATCGGCCGGCAAAGTTTTATCAGAATGCCTCTTATCGGAAATAAAATTTGCGCCAGACTTCTAAAGTGCAAAGCATTCGTTTGCAGGCTCTATGGAGCAGTCCAGTATAAATAACATTTTTTTACAATTACATTGGCCGCTCGATAAAAACGCCTCGGCTCTGTACACTTCTACGTCAATCCTGAAAGCGTATACGCTGGTCTCTATTATTTTCTTATGTAACAGAAAAAATCCATCCGTACACAATACTTGTGCTAGATCTCGGAAAAATGCATAAGCGATGCATGTGACGTTTATAAGTTCGCAATGCAGCTCCACGTTCTTGCACAGACATTTTATGATATGTATTTCAAATATGTGAATGTACATATCGCAAGATGAATTTATTGATCTCGTTGTGTGTATGTATGTATATATATGTATGTGTGTAAATATATATATATATATAAATTCTTTTATATAAAGTATACAAGAGAATTAACGATAAATAATTATTTCTAACGTTTTATTATATAACATATAATAATATTTATATTAAGAATGTAATAATCATAATTAATATATTGAGTGGAAATTAAACCAATAAAAAAATTATTATATAATATAATAATTGTATTTATATTTAAAAAGAGAACACGATTTTCCGAATATAATTTTATTGTTATAATTTTATCGAAATAATTATATAAAATTTTAATAAAATTATAAATTCACAAAATTATTTTTTTAAATATAAATACAATTATAATTCTTTCGATAATTATACAATATAATTATTTCGATAAAATCATAAATTTTTTAAATCGTCTTTTTTCCCCATTGCATAGATACACAAATGAAACTGGATACATACATTGCAACGATTATTAGTCAAACAAAATTCTCTGTAATTATTTCAGTGAAGTCGAAAAATGGTCACAAACGTAAAGTCCATTGAGAGGATTAACAGAGCAAATGTGAATTTGAGAAATCGATTTTGACAGCATATGCTCGTAAATTCGAGGAAAATTCGAGTACTGTGTTTTTTTGCAACTGATCGGATTAACGTCATGTGGTAGACCATCGAGTTTCCTTTATGCAATTGCATCTCACGAACATTTCTACGAATTTACCTAAAAATCGGAACTTAAAGTCACAACGGAATTAGAAATCTCCGCCGAAACGCCCGTTCAGTATATCGCGTTCCCCGAGGCGAATTCTTTTTTTTTCTTGCCTTTTCATTCGCCTCCATGATGCATCGAAGATCTCTGATCGTGGACTAGGTCGTACACTTTAACGGAGGATGATTTCATCGAACCGACAGGTGCACCGAGCAGTTTTGTTGCGCATGTTCGTTGTTCGATGCGCGTAATGGCTTCCGATGTCGTTGATGGTTAGAATATTTCTCTCTTTTGCCAGTCGACTCTACTCTCTTGTCGTTTCCTCTCACCGGGACATCCGCGAGAATGCACTGTGTCGTCGCGTCTGGTATCTAATATAAGCTCTCACGCTCCGCTGGGATCTGAGACAACGTATTTTCTGCACATCGAGAAAACGCGTGTTTTCGTCACACTTCCAGTTCCAGCAAAAGTTCATACCTTTCGAGACACATGTACTTTATATACGTCTTTCCTTCGCGTTACAAAAATAATTATCTCGTATATTTATGTGCATTATTTGACGCATCTTCTCCCAGGATTAATCCTAAAACACATACAATAGGTCTTTCAGACCCAATCAAAATTTTTGTTTGCTTCGTACATAAAAAAAGGAAAAAGAAGAGGTTATTTCATAAAACTTCTGGAATTGCAGGTATATTCCTAAATCTCAGCACTTCAAAATAAAAAAAGGGAGTCTAAAAATATCAATCTCAACCGAAGTTACAGCCTATCAAAGTTACAGTGGGTCTTCCAAACCTATGGTGTGTTTTCAGAATTTTTCGGAAGGTGTGTGTTTTAAGATTAAAGTCTTCATACGAGTTCCGCCAATAATTCGATTTAAAATGTTTCAAAAGTGACGCGCGTAATTGAATAATGAAATTTTCTTTATCACGTAATAATTCAAGCATATATTTTTTCAATAAAATTATTTGCAGATTTAGATCCTTTTTAATTTATTATTATCTACTAAAATAACATAATACTAATTAATAAAGAAAATATTAATACTAATTAATATTCGTATAAAAAATGCTCATTAGCATAAAAAAATTATTAAATTGCTTGTCAATTTAATAAGTGATATTACTGGTTCTGCTCATGAATGCGTTTCAAGACCGAAAAATATTTCGACGCGCAGTTTGCACGGAATCAGATATGTATGAACACTGAGATCCGCTTTGAATATAGAATTTCTCTTTTTTAATTAAATTTATTCTCATTCATCGATATAAATAAAAAAAAATATATATATATGAGATATCGTGTATTTTAGTTTGCAGTATACGTCGTTTCTTAGAGCATTCTATATCGAAAGGACGTACGACGCTCGTGTTTTCCTCGGTCTCGACCAATATTCGCACCCTTCGCCTTTGCTTTACCTCTTGCATCTACCATGATCGTTATAGCGACGTTCGAAAACACGTCTTGACGTTTCGTGCCGTATCAACGACACATGTGCATTATATCGGCGACGTTGCAGGCGTCGCTTGCGTCATGCTGTTTGTCATATCGCGGGAAGCATGTACGCAAACGGCTGTCGTGCAGCAGCGGTAGCAGCCGGGAGCGCACCGTGCAGTCTGAATCGATAATATCAAAGGGAGGAGAGAGAGATAGAGAGAGAACTGGTGTAGGCTTCGGACTTTGCGGCCGGCAGCGCAGGCGGTCCGCTCCGATTTGACCCATATAGTCACCTAACGGCGCAAATCGGCCTAAACGACTATACTTAAACCGAATATTTCGAGGTATGTACATACAAACGCATTCTGCAGCTTGCGATTTCAAATCTTTTCTTATTCAGAAAGACGTAAATAAAATCTAAAAACCTCTGACTTTTTATATTAATACGTTTATAATAGACAGTACAATCGCATATACATTACAGAGAATTGAGTACCAAAAAAATAAAAAGTTAATCGATTTCAGTCGCTGTAATAGTACAAAATGAAAAAGAATAAAAATACTATAGGTATACCTATATAACAAAATAAAACTACGGTCATATTTAAAATCATATAGGTGTTAAATTTAATACTATGG